TACCTATGCATTTGAGCCATGCAAGGTGCACAAGTATGTGCAGCAACTAGTCCATACTTCGTATTTCTGGGCTCAAACCACGTCATAGCCACCTTGGCCGAATCAGAAAAAGCAGAAACAGGCTCCCAAACTCTGGTTGAATAGATCTTTGGGGTTGTGCTACCTTTAAATTAGGCCTTTCGAATGTCTTCTCGCTGCCTGTCTCCGAGGACAGCCTCATGCATCCTGCGCACTTCACCTGCGCCCCGGACGTTTGCGCGGCTCCCACGGGAGTCGAAGGCGGGAGTCTTTCGGGTGGGTTTGAACACGAAAGAAACGCCCAAGAAGGCCGATGTGCATCGCCAGGAGATTTTTTTGGCCCGGGGCTATTCGTGGACGTTTTATGGAATGCCAGTAGGAAAACTAACGGCAACAAAAACCCAGAAACCTTCGCAGAACTTTGTGGAAGGTGTGTGTTTGTTTGTTATTTGTGTTTTTTTAGCACTACCTGCGTAGATACCTTTGTATACTGTATACTGTATACATATTAATTAGATTATTTTGCTGACTCCCTTTCCACACACACCGTCCATTTAGCCTTCAAATGGCACAAGCAGATGTCGAAAGCTGAAAACACAAGACGCACTTCTTCGCAGCAACAATGCGAGTTTAGCAAACTAGCTAACTCTGTTTGTTTTCGAAGCCGACGCCAACGTCTCACGAAGCCAAGGCCATAGCCATAGGCCACTTGCTGGAGCACGCTCGATGCACACTCGATGTGTTGGACATGCCAGGTGGAGGAGTCCCTGCTTGTGAGGAAGGATTTATCATTGGCAGCAGTCCACTTAAAGTCGGATGGAAGCACAGAAACACACCGTGTTGTTTGTTCCTTTTTTCAGTGCCAAGGTCAACATAGCCCACACCTGGTAAACAGCTGATCAATTTCTTGCATGATGAAGAGGGCTAAGTAATTTGTTTGCTAGTCATTTTGACTAAGCGTTGACACCTCGCACATGCTTAGGTGGAGCAGTTTGCACCACGGCATGTCAACCAGGCGAGCAGTATGCTGTCACGCTGTGCCACTCCAAGAGTGTGTGTGTGTGTGTGCTGACTGGCCACCCAAATTGTGGCGACCTTCTGGTTTGCAAAACAGCTGAGAACATGTCTCAAGACATCAAAGGCTGAACCAACTTATTTAGACCACACTCATGACTAGACACAACACGCGCTACCCGACGATTCGGCATACGGTTGACAGCAGCTGACATCGACGACGATACACGTGCTCCACGTGCTTCATGGGTTGTTGCAGTATATATGAGTAGATGGGGCATGATCAAGTGGTTTGGTCCGTAGCGTCAGACACCGGAGCATCAGGGTGGAAGAGCGGAAGAGCGGACCTGAGCACCCTCCATCATTGTTTGGGGACAAAGAGTTGCGGGTCGTTGCCAGGTTTTGGACTTTTGTTTGGTTATAAATAGTGTATGTTTTATTTTTGTGTGTTTTACACCTTACATTTTGTGTGTGAAGACGTTGCATGGACTCACAATTAATGATCCAGTCATCCCCAGACTGGAAAGGATTATATCAGCATCGAGTACAAACAACTGCCGTACAAGTACTTTAGTCATGAGCCGCCTTAAGTATGTCTATATTTCTGAAATGGTCAAAGCCTTGCAACACCGACAGCGGCCAACCCTATACCGATACCCTGGAGTTTTGAGCGCAAATGGCATGCACATGACCACTAAAGACCCAAAAGCAGGATAGGGTCAACAGTCCCAAATGTGCGATATACTAATTTTGGTTTGTTTTCTTGATGAGACCATTTTACAAAAAACGGTTGTGAGCCTTCATTGCAGAATGATTCTGTCTCAAAACATGTGGACCCCACGCAATATGACAAACACTGTAATTCATTGTTGGTCAGAATTACTACTAGGTGCTCAGAATTGTTTATTCTTGTCAGGCTATGGTGCAACTCCAGAGAAACTTCAATGCAATGCAGCAGCGTCCTGGCAGATCATTTGCAGAGCATCGTACAGCTACAAAATTTCGATGGGGGAACTTGGCTCCACGGCGAAACTGAAGAACTCGTGAAAGAACACTGGATTTAGAGAACGTTCGACGCTCCCGAAGAAACAGAAAAAAGGTAAAGCCCACCAGGGGTCATCAGGAGTTCCAAAGGGGTTGGATTCGGTTGGATCTAGACATTATATAGATTAAAGGCATGGAATCTAGACACTAATTAATTGGTAAAAAGGCGCCCCTACTCTCCAATAACCGCCCCTTTGGAACTCCAAATCACCGTATCCATCCACTTGCTTGATGGTAGGTAACTACCCCGCCCCCCCCGGAGCTCTTTTTGTCTAAGACCACCTGGTTGCCTCGTGCCTGTCACCGCCGACAGGTCGCTCACCGTCGCAAAAACCGTACCGTTCACTTCGCTCCTCTCGGTATAGCTTCTAGCTACGTTACTACTCGTAGCTTCTAGCTACGTTCGTAGCTTCTTGTTACTACTCGTAGTAGCCTCCAACCTACTAGCGATGGCCTTGCACCTACTATTCCCTAGAAAGCCGTATTCTTCTGTTTTCAGGGTCCACGTCCCCTTTCCGCTGCACTGACCCTGCACCGGAAGCGGATGCTCTGAGTATGAGCATTGATATAGTTGTCTTTTGGGTGGTGTTGGCAGTTGGTAGAGCAAATGAACAATGAAACAACTGACAGTAGGCCGCGATTTGTTTGCCAATCACTCAGAATCCGCAGGAGAGTTGGGGAGAATCTTACTTCTCAGTTCTTAGGTTGAACGTTTGTTGAAAGCACTATGGGATTCCTAACTCATAAGCAGAATCTCGTGCCGCCTCAACCAAGAAAACAAAAAACAGGAGATGGCACACCCTGAGAGAGAAGTCATGGAAATTCAGAAAAAGCGAGCCAATCTCCATCTCCATGCTGGTCTATTTGGGTGTTCCTTTTCTTGTCTAGTTTGTTTAGTTCACTTCATTCTAGATCATTTTACGAGCACACGTTGACAATCTCAAGCTGATTAATGAATTGGATCATATTTTTCATATCTGGTTTGTGTTTGTTTCCTATACTGTAAACTACAGTATATAATTCTCCTCTCCTGAATTTGTTTTATTCCTTTCTCCTGTTATTTACCCATGAGGACTAGAAAATAACCCCAATTATTCATCGGCTGTGTGTCCATGCAAAACAAAGCAACACCAGCATTATCTAATCAATCATATCTGCAGAGAAAAACACAAGCAGTACCAAAACTATTTCTTTATCATCCGCAGCGCCATGCTCGGCCATGCTCCAGTTTTTTTGTTGTGATTTGCACAGAGTTTGCCCAACTCATCCCATAGGGAATTTCCACAGGCCAAAATTGTCTGTATATAACAAGTGCCATATCAAGCAGTGTCTCATGAGAGCAGCGGTTGTGCTTTGCACATTCAACTTTCTTCTTTGCATGTGATGTAGTTTTTCATATGATCCCAAGTTCTGTCAATGACCTGCGTACCTGCCACGCGTGAACCAGAGCTACATGCAGTGCTGGTGAGCATGTCAAAAGTGACAACACAAAGCTACATGTCAGTGTGCATGTGAACATTAACGTCATTTTGAAATCCCCACCTCCCCACCTCCCACGTAGCTACATGTAAGTGTGCATGTGAACATGTCAAAAGTGACAACACGTAGCTACATGTTAGTGTGCAGATGAACATGTCAAAGTGACAACAGCACTGCCCCTTAAGGGGCGCCGTCACCCAAAACTATATATATATGCAGTAAAAGTACAACCTAGCACTTCGGACTCCAAGAATGTTTTTGTAGTGGGCATGAGTGCTACACGAGGAAGTTGTTTTTCTTTTTAATGCTTCTACTTGGACGTGGAACATAAATTACTTTAGTCGACAATTGAACCTTATATTCAGTGACAAATGGTGTTTAGGGCAACTAATTGCCTTCACAAGGTCAACAACATAGGATAGTCTACTTTGACATGGATACCTTTAGATAAACTCAACTCCATTGCAAAAGACTTTAATTTAGACAACCAAAAGGGTTGGATAATGCTCCACAAAGGCATTTGGCAAAAATGGAAATGGTTTCCATGGAGGATAACTTAACTGATCATAACTTAATTGCTCAGGGAAGAATACCTTTTGCAGAGTCGAAAGTATTATTCAATAAAGATTTTGGATATTGGAGGCTTTTGCCTATGAACATGAAGTTGTAATGGAGGCTCATACAGGGGTGAAGCCCCCATAAGGCAAACATCTATATGTTCCAGCAAACTATTTGCAAGCATGATGGGATACAAGGTTTGAGAGTTCAAGAATTCAGACATGTTTTCCAGCCTCTTGAATCTCCAGCCTCTTGAATCTCGAATCCAGATGTTGTTGCAAGTTGCGACTAGATAAGACAAGCTTCACATGCACAATGTATCATGTATAGATCTACATTTCTATACATTTCTTGAGAATGCACCAAAATCATCCAACATCTAGTCGCTTTGGAACCTAAATCCCAAACCTTTGGGCTGGTGTCAGCTTCAGGGCGCTCCAGAAAAAAAGAAAACGACCAAAGTGGCAAGTTGGTTGGTTTGTGTCGTGCATCGTTTGGTTTGAGTGTTTGGGTGTCTTCAGCTCAGACCCGGACCATCCTCCGGGGGTGGAAACCCGGGGTTTCCCCGAAAGAAAGGGGTCCGGGTTCGCAGGGGTCCGGCAGGGGTGGATATAGATGCGAACCAGCAGTGAGAAGCAGAAGCTCCACTTCCAAAAGTTCTGGATTTGATGAGGGGTCCCTTTTTCGCTTGAGATGCGAAGTGAAATGGAATGAAATGAATGCCTCTCACAGAGGGACTGGTCTCCGAACGCACTCGAGAGGCGCTGAAGGCTGCGACATGTGTATCGACTTCAATTCAGGGCGGTCATAGTCACGGATCAGAAGAAAACACAGAAAAGCTGCACACAATCAATCACAATCACCCGCATTCCGCTCGATCGGGCGCCATGGCTCCGTTCTCACGCGTCTGGCTGGGCGCGTCCTTGGGCGCGTCCTCTGGGCCACTGGAATGGGTGGATGTCGACCTGGGGGAGCCCATGGTCGGCCGTGCCCACCACCTGCGCAGCGCCATGCGGTCAGCTTGGAAGGAGGTGGGTTTGACCTGGGTCAGCTTGGTGGGAGGTGGAAATACGAGGAAATATGCCATATTGCAGCAACCGAGTTTGACGCATGCCCATAGGGTCGCCAGTTGTGTGTGTAGACCTTGGAGTCAAAGGTAACCTGTTGGTTCTAATCTGCAGAACGAAGCGGGTACTGAGTCTTGTCAACTCGGCGTACCTGCACCTGCAGTTGTGAAGTTTTAGCCGTTCTCCAATCGTAGAGGTCTTCAGGCTGTTGCAGGAATTTTCAGGTCTGCAGTTGTGCACTTGCCGCTCGTTCTTGTCGGTTTTCTCGCTCGCGTGGCATTTCTCTTGAACTTGATGAGCTTGAAGCATTTGGTTTTGGAAACTCTGGAGGCTTGATTGTTGGAGCCCTCTGCACTACCTAACTTAGGTGCTTTAAATTACGGAGGTTTCTTCAGGGCTTGAAGCGATCAGATCGTACATGTATGGACCCCTGATGACACCTGTATCTAAGGGCTCTCTTCACTTTCAACTTTTAAGCAGCTGAATTGTACTGTACAGTGACAGCAGGGGGACTGCCTGACTCCAACAAAGAGGTTTCTATGAGTCCCTGATATGAGGATTCTGGGCGCGGAATCCACGTGAAGCTGCTTCATGTGACGCGGAGACAGTTACATATTGTTCTGGGACTTCTTCCAAAACCCGTTTTCAGCTACTTCAGGTGGTCTAATGCAGTAAGATAAGATCCAGTGCATTTCACCGGTTTGTTCTTGCTGTCTCCGAACTTCCATGCTGGATACGTGTGTGTTATTTTATATTGTGTAATTGTTAGATAGACAAACAACTTCGACTTCTTCGTGATATCGACGGTCGTCGACCGCCAGGTGGTGGACGAGATGTTGGACGCTGACGCTGAGACCTCGGATGAAATCGTCTTGACGGTGCGGCGGCAGTGGGCCAAGCAACCGCAGATGCCCGGAGATGCTCCGGTGGGAATTTTCGACAGCGACTTGGGCAGATTTGGCCGCCAGGGTCGTGGAAACAGCATGTGGTGTTCCCATCCCAACGAGGGAGAAACACCTTATTTGACCCTTTGTCAAACCTTAGTTGCTGATCACCAACCTCCATGAATCAATAAACATCCCCATGTAAAGCATCACATGTAAACATCCTCCAGGAAGATGGGACTGCCCATTCCCAACCACCAAGCATATCAATGCGAATCACCCATCCATCCTTATAGATTGGACATCCCACCCCGCACGAGGTGGCGTGGGTGGCCTCACGGTCTACCGTCGCTTGCGTGAGCGTTGGCCCATGGCAGATGTTACATACCTGGCAGATGACCAGTGAGCGCCGTATGGGCGGCTTGACTTGAGATGCTTGAAACGTTTTGAAACCATGTTTTTATAGTTGCAACATGTTGCAATGGCATGTGGGATCATGTCGGGATCCACCGCAGTAGTCTGTGTGCATGCCCCCGAGTAGTCTGTGTCGATTTGAGGCCCCAGGCACCGGAGGACGTGGCACGCTACGTCGAGCACATTGCTCACTATTTGCGGAACGACACGCAGCTCACCTTGATCGCCTGCAACACAGCCTCGGCCGGGAGAGAGTCAGAGGGTAGACCACGTTCATGGCGGTAGCATGGTGGTGTGGTGTCCTAAAGTTTGGTGCTGGCTGAATTCGATCAGCGAGGTTATACATTCAGTACATGTATTATTTATATACATGTGATTGCACAACCGTATATGAGCGGCGAGCCTGCGTAGCCACAAACAGCTTGTTAATGTTCCATCCAAATGCCTCGAAATATCCTCGACGTTTGATCCAATTATCCGATTTCCAAAGATGTTCAAAGTCACAAAGAGCCCAACACACCACACTTCAAAACCATCTCAAGCCACACCAACCAGCCTCAAAAGCCGGCGGTCAGGCTCTCTTTTTTGCCACCTCACCTCACCCGCCAGGTGGCAGCAATTGCCTTTAATGTGGCCGAAGATGAGGCTTTTGCCAAGTATCCCATCTTGCCCATCGCGCCGCCCTATGGAGTCTTGGCGCCATAAAACGTCCGAAAGACACGAGGATCTTCTCCAGCCTCCAGACACTACGTCCGATGAAACATGAAGAAACCATATCAAGACACCTCGGGGGGATGGTGTTTGGAGCCAAGGTTATAAGGGATACCCGTCACCAAAAACAACAAACAAACATCGGCACCCCTCAGTGTGTCCTGGTACGATCCCAGTGCACAGACATGCGACCCTGCCCAGCGTCATAGGAACCTGCGGAAAGGGATCTTCCTCTCGGGCCTTTTTGAAGGAAGTGGGTGATGACATGCTTCAGAACATCGCGAGGTCCACCAACATGGCCTATCCCTTTCAAGCGCACCTCTCTTTTGGTCACTGCCTTTCATGCCTGTCCTTTGATGGCCTATTCAACCTTTTCCAATATGACACCGACCCGAAAACGACCATGGCCGCCTGGCCCGATGACTTGAGGCCTCTTCTTTCGGCTGCTGCCACCCGATGGGCGCCGTGTGGGGCTTTTCGCCACGGATGCGACCTGCCGCTCAGGTGTATACCAGCGACAGGTGCGCAGCGCTCCTGGCTTCGAGATCGTGGCAAATGGTGCCTTGGTTGAGTTGTAATTTCCTAATAGATCCTAATAGCATGCAATTGGGTTTCAATCTCTGGGGCTGGAAGTGTTTGTAGAGATGCCTTTTGTTTTGTTTCTTTTTGAGGGTCCATTGTTTCCATTAGATCTACGCGTCATGTCCCACCAATTTCCTGTGGTGTTCAATGGTGTTGTCACATGTTGTCCAACCGTGGTGTTCAATGGTGTCGTCACATGTTGTCACACCGTCGTTGGTGTTGCCTTTTTTACCAGTTGTGCAGTGGTACGTTTTCTTGCAGTGGTGAAGTAGTCTTAAATAAATCTAATATATATATAATATAGATAATATGTTCCAATAGGATGGTTGAGCTACGGGGTACAGTACAAGTTATTTTGGTGTTGTTGGGCGTGATCAGTTTGTGTAAACGGTCTTCTTGTGTCACACTCGTGTTTGGATGCTGCTTGCAGATGTTGCATCCCACCTTCCGCTCTTTTTGTGTCTAGCGATGATGGCAAAGTATAGTTTCAGGCCTTTTCATGGTTTGCTTCCATGTTTAGCACCTTGCTTTCGGTTCGGCTCACCAGGAAGGCACGAGGACTTCCCGAACCAAGCAGAGACCACGGATTGCATCGGTGCGGCGCTCAAGCTGACCTGCCGGTCGAGCGTCATTCCGGTGAAGCTGTATCCCATGGTGCCAGGAGCCCCGTTTGTAGCGTCCTTGCTCCTAGTAGTAAGGCCAGGAGCCCCTAGCGTTGGAGTGACCCTCATCCCAAAACCGGATCGGCCCATCGGGCAAGACGCGTCGTCTGAGTCCTCGGACGCCGAAGTGCACGACGACCGTCGCCGTGGAACCCGCCAGGTTGCGCTGAGTGCGTCGCAGCCGTGCAGCACGAGCCTCCCTTCGATGAAGCGGCCACATGGCGTGCGAGGACAGGATGGGTTGAGTGCACCTTTGTTTGAGATGGAGTAGAAATTTGGAGGGGTACAGTAAGATGCAATTATATGTGTTTATATACACAAAAGACATCAATACGGACACATACAACAAACACACTCATATACAACATTAAGACTCATATATTATCGAACATATCCAGTGCAGATATAGCATATATGATATAATTAGGATATAGATATATTGATTGATTCAGTAAGGTTTCGGTTCGGTTGGAATCGGTTTGAATGTTTAATTGAAACTTTGAATCGGTTCGGTTTGGTTGTAGAAGTAGTTTTTCATGGACTTTCGGTTCGGTTCACGGTTCGTTTCGGTTCTGTGAGGTATAAGTCTCGCAGTGGGGTAAAGAAAAGAAAGGCAATGATAAAGAGACAAGACAAGACTAGACTATAGACTATAGACAAGACAGGACAGGACAGGAGAAAAAGGGAAAATGGAAAGCAAAAGGAAAGGAAAGGAAAAAAGAAAAGGCAGGGAAAATATAGAAAGGGAATAGAAAAGGAAAAGCAAGGGGAAGGAATGCAACTTGTGAATATGCTTTTTCCAGGCCTTCCAAAAAGCATATTGGAAAGGAAACCCAAGAAAAGGAAAAGGAAGGAAAGGAAAGAAAAGCAATGGACAGGAAAAGGAAAAGGAAACGGACAGGTAAGGTATACAATTTGTGAATATGCTTTTTCCTGGCAGTCTAAAAAGCATACTGGAAAGGAAAGGAAAGGAAAAGGACAAGGAAAGGAAAGGACAATGTTAGGAAAGCAAAGGAAAGGAAAAGGAAATGGATATGGATAGGTAGGAATGCAATTTGTGAATATGCCTTTTCCATGCCGTCTAAGAAGCATATTGGAAAGGAAAAGGAAAAGGAAAAGGAAAGGAAAGCATTTTATGAATGCTCCTGAAGCCGGGCCGGGCCAGTGACATGCTGTATGGACATTCCAGTGGGGGACTGCTGCTCTGAAACTCAAGTTTTTGGACAGTCTGAAAAAACGTCACAGCGGAACAGAGCGGAACGGTTCGTTTTTCTTTTCGGTTCGGTTGTGTTTGGAAAATTGACGGTTGTAATGATTCGGTTGATGAAACATTTCGTTTCTTGACATTCGCTGACTGTCGGTTCCGAAAGTTCGGCTCCGAATCGATTCGGTTGATAGATTGGTTGGTTGGTTGTTTCATTCATTCCTTCATTCATTCCTTCCTTCCTTCCTTCATTCATTCATTCATTCACTGATTGATGGGTTGATGGATTGATTGTTTGCTTGATTATTTGGTTGATTGATAGATAGAACATAGATTATATGAGTAGATTGATTGATGGAAGTAGATTGATTGATGGATGGATTGATTGATTGATCAATATATATATATATAATTGTTTTAATAGAGATATATGGATATATATAGATACAATGCATATTTAAATGTATAGATAAATTTCCAGTCCATCAACTCAATTCCTTAGTAACTTGCATAGCCTCATGGAAGAGTCCTGAGGTTGCAAGGTTCTTGAGCAGGATGCATCCATGCAACCTCCAAGTAGCATTTCTTCCAAGACTTATCCAAAGGCCCACTTTTTGGGTAGACGCGATGTTCTACATCAGTGACTTGGGCCTATTGTGCCAGCATCGTTTGATCCAGACTTGGTTTCTCACCTACATCCAACAACAAATGCTGCAATGAAAAGGACGACGGCGATGCTGCGGAAGAAGTTCGCTGCCTACTTGGGGACGCCGGGCGAATTGAGTCGTCGCAAGAAAACTGACCATGACAGTTCTGCAGAGTTTTAGGCCGTGGATTAGGTTTTTTTACTATATATTATTGGGTCTTGCGAATCCCAGGCAAGTTTGTTTGATGGGATTTGGGGCGCTGAAGTCATCTCGCCGCGACCGGATCGCCTGGCTGTGGTGCTGAAGTCTAGGCATGACAAACACCATTTCCCGACTTTGGGAGCCATCCGGAAACCCAGCGAAGCGGAGTGGGGTGGGGTATTTTGACGTGGGCACTAATGGCTTGGTAGTTTGAAGCGGACAATGGTGGCTAGGGTTCATTTGTGTCCTAAGGTCCAGAGCTTGTATCCAAGCTTTTCCTTGGAACCATTAGGGAATGAGTGGATCACTAGTAAACCCCACCAGATCCATCTATAATCTAATTCCACCACCTCGAGTTCTTGGTTCGTCTAAACAGCGTTCTCATGTCTGGAGGAGTGAGGGTGAGGGCGTGCGCATCGACTACCTCATCTTCGGGTGCACGCACTTCCCTGCTTTGGAGCCCTTGGTGAAAGAGATCCTGGGCCCAGTGCAGCTGGTGGATCCTTGGCTGTTTCTTTTGTTGTGTGGGGAGTGAGGGAGGGGAAGGAGTGGTGCTGGCCGAAGTGTGGGTCTTGAAGGATTTGGAGGGAATTGCTATCAGGTTGGAGGCCATTGCTATTAGGTTGAAGGCCATTGCTATTAGGTTGGAGGCCATTGCTATTAGGTTGGAGGCCATTGCTATTAGGTTGGAAGCCATTGCTATTAGGTTGGAGGCCATGGCTATTAGGTTGGAGGCCATCGCTATTAGGTTGGAGGCCATTGCTATTAGGTTGGAGGCCACCGCTAGTAGGTTGGAGGCCATCGCTATTAGGTTGGAGGCCATCGCTATTAGGTTGGTTGCCATCGCTGTTAGGTTGGAAGCCATTGCTATGGGGTTGGAGGCCATTGCTATTAGGTTTGGGGGCATCGCTATTATATGTGTTTCTATGTGTTGCTTGGGGCCTTAGGCTTTGTGGATGTGTCCATAAGGACCCTGCGGACTACCAGGTAGAGCTGGCAGCGCGCTTTGGGCTGAAGAATGGTAAGGGCTCCACGAAGCTCGTGGTGAGTGGGCTTGAGGAGAGCAACTTGGGCATGCTGAGTGGAGGGTTTGGGGTGCGAAGCTTGGGTCGTGGAGGGCAGATAAGAGATTCTGAACATATGGTTTAATGCTGTAGCTTTGTGGATTAAAGTTTGTCCAACAATGGCACACGTGTTTTCCTACAAATATGGTAGGGTTGGAATGGGTTGGAGTGGGGCTGCCGGTTTGAGTATCAGCAATTAATCAGCAACCAGTATATGACACATACTCCAAAATACACTTTAAGTGCAGTGCAACCAATACACCCAAAAGAAGAGAATGTCTTCATGCAGAAGAACATCGAGTTGTGGGAGGAACCTTTCCACATAAGAAGGTCAAAAGACAAACATTGTGTCCAGAACATAGTTGTTTTAAAAAACATAATGACACCCTCGTGCATTGTGGATGTGTCTGTATCGACACACCGGACATTTTTGGTAGCAGATGCGTGAAAGTAAACGTACTTGTCCAGTTGTTCTTTGCTCTTGCAAGGGTAGTGTTGTATTCTTGTGCTGTTTGTCTCCGCGACTGGCAATAATCTTCTCTAACACATATGATAAATATATACATATATATATATATTCCGTCAACTCCTTCCCCACACTGTGAAATGACACGGTGCCCTTGACAAAAACACAATTACTTTACTTCGAGTGATCCCCACCATGACATTTCAATCATTTGTCTTGATGCCATAGTGAGGAGCATGTTGCCATAGTCGTTAGTATTCTAGTTCTCGATGTTGCTTGTGGGTCCTCGGGTTGTGTGCTGTGTTGTGGTTGTGGTTGTGTTTGTGTGTTTGTGGTTGTGTGTTTGTGGTTGTGGTAGTGGTTGTGATTGTGTGTTTGTAGTTGTGGTTGTGGTTGCGGTTGTGTCTTTGTGATTGTGTGTTTGTAGTTGTGGTTGTGGTTGTGTCTTTGTGATTGTGTGTTTGTAGTTGTGTTTGTGGTTGTGTGTTTGTGGATGTGTTTGTGGTTGTGTTTGTGGTAGTGGTTGTGATTATGTGTTTGTAGTTGTGGTTGTGGTTGTGGTTGTTTGTGGTTGTGTGTTTGTGTGTTTGTGGTTGTGTGTTTGTGGTTGTGTGTTTGTGGTTGTGTGTTTGTGGTTGCGTGGTTGTGGTTGTGTGTTTGTGTGTGTGTGTTTGTGGTTGTGTGTT